TTTCTTTAAGTCTGACGTTATTGTACTAATAATTTTCGGTTTCTACGAAGAAAAATACATAAGAAAATATAAATATAAAACGATCCTCGAGCGATCGCGAAAAAGTTACACCCTCCTTTATAAGTATCAATTTCTTCTAACGAAGGTAACGTAACTACGGAAACGTTCTCTTGAAATTAATTAGCGGACCGATAATTATTGTTCGTTCATAATAATTCACATCGTGACGTGCCGTAAAACCAATAATTAGTTCCGAGGTTGCTTCCGAAGGTAATAATTGATTTTCACCGAAGAAACGGTTGATTGATCATGTTCAACACGTAGCCAATATTCACCGATAATTACGAGACAATTGCAAATACTTTCTTCTTCACCCAATAATTCCATTTATTCTATTTTATTTTATTTTATTTTTCGTTTTTCTTTATATTAAAAATTTCACTTACGGTATCTTTTTCCTTCCAGCAAACTTCATTGTACAGTTTCTGATTTTATCTCTCATACTGGGCATCCCATTATTAACGTTGCACGTGTGCCTCGGACAAAGATTGGCTGCTGGTTCAGTGGATATGTGGAGGATTTCGCCAATTTTTCAAGGTGTCGGAATAGCTCTACTCGCCGCGCAGGCTCTTATCGGTATCTACAGTATAGTCGGTGTATCATGGATGTTTGTGTATTTCAGGTACATATATCAATACTTACTTTGAAAAAACGTCTATGTGAAATTGTACGTGTAATTAAATTAGAAGATGTATGGAATTATAAAAAAGAAATTAAAAGAAAAAAGTTTCGCTCAAGAAAACGATAACGATTGGATATAAAAACGATGATTTTCGAACGAATAAGAGAATTAACTTTATTAAAATTAATTCCATTTTTTCTTGTTTTTGAACGAAAGCTTCATTCAAAGAACAAATTATTTCTTTTTGTTATAACGCTCAGATGCTCGGGTACACAATATTAATGAATACGTTGTATTTGTAAGTTTATTTTGACTCATTCTTAATCTCGATGGCCTTGATATTTATCCGAGCATCTAGCTCTATCATTTATGCATAGCGGGACAATAATCATCCCAGTTAATCAAGTAGGACGAAACGTGTGATATATTGATTGCAGAGATTCGTTCATAACGAAACAGGACAAGTATCGATGGGCAGAACCATTTCTCCTCTATCGAGAAGACAGCCGTCCCACGCACAACATTACCACATCATACAAATTGCATGAAACCGTCCCGGATTACTTTAGTGGTGCTGTCTTGCAAAGACATCATTTGAACGATATTGATCCTGGTGTAGTAACACTGAAGTTTCAAGTAGCTTTCAACTTAGCTGTCGTATGGATGATCGTATTTGTTTCATTAAGCAAAGGTAAATATTTCTCAGCAAATAGGTCTCAGAAAAATTTTCTATCGTTAATACCGCCTGCAATATCTCTTTAGAAAGAGATATAAATATATCTCTTTCTCTAAAAAGAGAGAGTGTTTAAACATTGATAGAGTTACATATTAAAATAGTAACAAAAAACTTAATTGTGATGAAGCATATGAAAAGTAAAAAATCTTAAGATTTGTGTTAGTGAACGCTTCTTTTATAAAATATAGTTAGTACGAAGTATTATAGTACTTTATTGGAATCAGAGTTGTCTTTAGTAGAATCAAAGTCAAATATCAATTACATTTTTCTCAATTTAATAATCGATTTAATAATTTAATAGTTGATTTAGACAAACTTGTTTCAATTTAACTAATTAACAATTTAATCAAAGATTGTTTAACAATTGATTTTAATGAAATTAATTCAAAATTAATTGTCAAGTCATTTCATTGACAATATGAACAAAAGGAGTCACAAGTTTTTTTATTAATAATTGCACTTAATAGATTTAATTAAAAGTAAATTTAATTTAATTGACGATTGACATGAGCAAATTCAACAGAAAACAGTTCGATGACGATTAATATATAACTAGTGCTTCATTCAACGCAACTCTTACTTTGCACTTTTCAATTATCAAGATTTTCCTCGATGCCACGATACTCCAAATATAAATATTATTCACAAGACTAATTATAATACTGTTGTCTCCTACGTAAAAGATATACGCAAAATAATGCCACCCATTTTTTCTCAAATAAAACGCAAAATTTGTAAGATATATCTTCAATTGAGTCATACCCTTACAGAAATATCTGAGAATCATTGATTAATTACTTATTTTCAGTATTAAAAGTATTAATAGTACAGTATAGTAATATTCTGTGATTTCAGTATTAAAAGTACAGTTTAGTAATATTCTGTGATTTAAATACAACTCTTAGTGCTCAAGTATTTCAGTGTTTAGCGTTACAAATACTACCTTATGATTGACTTTAATACTTAAATATTGATATGTAATACTTCATTCAGTGATAAAATATTTACGCAGAGTATTGTCAATATTTAAATACTAATATGTAATACTTTGCTAAGTGATGAAATACTTACGCAAAGTACTGTCAAGATTTAAAATATTAATCCAAATAGCACACAATATTAATGATAAATATTTATAAATTATTTATTTCGAATTATTTTTTTTTAATATTATATAAATATTTTTTTATATATACATAAAGAGAGAGAAGAAAAAATATGAAAATCATTATTCAAAATATTATTTAAATATCTAAAGGCTAAATATCTGAATATTTTATACAATATTTATTGTAAACAAAAAATTAATATTTATAGTAAATATTGTACTAGATTAATATCTTGTAAATATTTTTATAAATATTACATATGAGAAAAATAAATATAATTATTTATAATTATTAAATTAATGAAGAAGAAAATTTAAATTGCTAATGTACATTCAAAAAAAATTTAAATCAAAGAAATATATTTTGTTAAATATAATATCTTAATTTAAAAAAATATTTGTTAGATTTTAGAAAATATATAATAAATATATTTTTTTAAATTTGTAAAATAAGGTGTAAAATTATTAATTTCTAGAAAAAAATGATTTGTTTGATGTAAAATATCTATATATAAGAATAAGTAAATGATTTCTTTACACACAAGAAAAAAATTAGTTTTTTTAAATGTAAAAACTGTGTTTAAATAAATATTTGTTTGTTTTAAAAGTAAATAAAATACAAGTACATTATTTTATAAATCTAAATAAATTATTTTCTAATATTAAAGGTATCTGTTTGTGTTTCGAATTAAATGTCTTTTATTATCAAATATTTAGTAAACAATTTATTTAAATTTACAAAATAATTTATTTGTATTTTACTTACTTTTAAAACAAGTAAATATTTTTAAATATACCTTTTACATACTTTTTAAAAAAATAATTTTGACATTTAAAAATATCTATTCTCTTCTTTTAAATAAATCATATATTTTCGTACATGGATATATCATACGTATACAATACGAAGCTTTCTGTCAAAATAACAGTAGGTCAAGTGAACGACTTAAGAACCAGAGGTCTCAGATTCGACTCTCAGCAATGCCCATACAGCACAGAAGCTTGCAGCAACATTGCTACAATGTTACAAGATTACATATTGCAGTACAATGTTGTAAAGACATTACAGTGATATTAATTTGCAATATTACTTTAATAGTACTGCAGCAATATTTCAAAAATATTACAAATATAATATAATATTTTTTACTTACTAGTTATTTTTGTTACTTGTATTTCAAATTCAGTAATGTTTCACATCAATAGTGTTTATAGAATAGTACTTAGAATAGTACTTGTTAGTGGCAGTCATTAATACTAGAATTTTTCTTATTGCATATTTCTTATACTTCTTATACTTTTTTTCGCAGAAAATACTTTCTTTAGATTTAATATTCGTACTGGTTTAATTTTATGGTTTTTTTTTTTTTTTTAATCAGAAATTAAGTACTGGCCAAAAAAATTATTGAATTACTGGTAGTACTTAATCACTAATAATTTTTCAGTATTTCTTAGTATGATATTTCTGTAAGGATAGAATTCATATAACAAGTTGTAAAATCCATCAAATTTCTTTTTTTTTCTTTTCTGTCAAATTTACAACTTTCCTATGCTGTGTAGTTATTACAGAATCCCTCTCGTTCAAAGTAATTAAATTAATTATTATGACACAGTTTTCGATTAAATTTTATCATATCAAAACAACTATTAGTTAAATTTACTAAGTTTATTCGTTAATTGGACGATTTTTCATTTCTTTCGCTCATATTAATCGTCAATTAAACGATGTTCTATTGAATATTTTGAAATAAATTGTCAATTAAACGGTCTTCAATGAAATTAGCTCATATTAATCGTCAATTAAATACAATAATTAATTTAAAAAGATAATTATACTGGTGTTTTTTTTTTTTTAAGATAATTTACTGGTGTACGTAATTTACGTTATACAGAAACGTTATACAGAAACTGGTGGTAAAGTTTTTAATGAAATTTCTTAATTTTGCTGAAAATTTTTCTGAAAAATTTTAAATTTTATAAAAATAAAAGAAGTAAATTTTTCTGAAAATCTAAAAATTTTTCGAAAAATCTCTAAATTTCTCTGAAATTATTTTGTTTTACAAAAATCCCGAGAAAATCAAGAAAATGGCATACTTCATAAAAATGAAAAAAAATTTAATTCTTTTAATTTCTCTGAAAATTTCTTAATAAATACATTTTTATTAACAATTTCATAATTTCTTTATGCTTACAGGAATGTATTCGAAAACTTTACTCGAAGAGTAGAATAACACTTATTAACCACTCATGATAAAGAAGTCTAAGTTTTTTTTGTCCTGATTGGCCAGTTAAATGTTACTCTACCTTTCGAATAGAATTTTGTGGAGCGCAGCCCTAGAGAATTACACTTTCCATATATTGCTAGAATCTTACTAAAAAATTAAGAAAATCAAATTTTGTAAAAAAAAAAGATTCGTTTATTTGGATGTAAGCGTTTGAAAAAATTTTAAAACCAAAAAAACCTTTCCATAAAACCAAAAAAACATGCAATTTTCAAAGAAAGTCATAAATTGTCATTAAATAATTATCATAAGGATTTTCTGGAAAAAAAATCGTACTCTATATGTCAGAGAATACAAGTTGCCTTTTTAAAAAAAAGTAAGATTTTTTCAGGAAAAGTAAGAGTTTTCTAGAAAAATCTTGTGCCAACTTTTTAGTGAAAATCTCTAACTTTATCTAAAAATTGTTTTTCAGAGAAAATAATTTTTTTTCCAGAGTTTCATGTTTTTCATTTTTATATCTCGGATTAGACAGGTAAACTTTTTCAGCAAAAGCAAGATTTTTTCAGAGAAAGTAAGATTTTTTCAGGAAAAGTAAAGGTTTTTTCAAAAAAACCTTGTGATAACTTTTTAATGAAAATCTTCGACTTTCTTTGAAAATTATGTTTTTCAGGGAAAATAATTTTTTCTCAGAGTTTTTTATTTTTTTTCATTCTTATATATCGGTGGAGGCTAATAAATTTTTTTTCAAGAAAATTTAGAATTTTTCAGAAAAAGTAAGATTTTTTTTACTAAAAGTAAAGGTCTTTTAAAGAAACCTTATACAACGTTTAGTGAAAATCTCTGACTTTTACTGAAAAACCGAATTTTCAGAGAAAGAGTCAGAAATTTTCAAACTTTTTATTAAAAAACTGAAAAGATCTGAAAAATCCTTACTTTCTCTAAAAAGAGAATTTTCAGAGAAATTCTGAAATTTTCATTAAAAAAGTTTCTCCAAGATAATTATATTAATAGAAATACTGATTAAAATGCAAGAGTAAATTTTTTATATTATTTATTTATACAGGATTAAGGTCCTACGGAAAAGTGGTGTACGTATTTACACTAGTGCCCGTAATTGGAACATTGGTACTCTGCGCGAAGCTGTTGGGACTCAACGCGACCGGCTCGATACAACACCAACTTTTTCCCGCTACCGTCTGGAGCGAATTCTTCATCAATGGAAAGTCATGGGTGGCTGCCTCAACTGAAGTCTTCCTCACGTGGGGCTTACTTGGTGCGGCGGCTATGCAGGTATCGTTTTCGTTGATAACAGCTAATTAACGATTACTCAGTTAAGATTACTCAGTTCAGATTATTTAATTATAATTATTTGATTTTTCTGACAGTCGGATTTCCGTTCGTAAGGCTCAAACGTGATTTACGCAACAGTTAATTAGAATGTACCATCGTTTCAGATAGCAGCTCATAACAAGCACAAGCATCTCCTACAGCGAGACACGAGTCTCGTGGTGGTCCTAACATTCGCTGTTCTTCTCCTCGCGGCTTTCCTAGCGAACACCTGTGTGCAAATTCTCAGACACCACGGCTACATCTATACTACTAGTTCGTTTGGTAAGCGTATCGCCGTATGATTCGTCTGAATGATGGGATCAGCTTGACTATATTCGCGCTTATAATCATTCCCAAATGATTTCAGAGAGGATATCAGGTTATACGTTTATGAGGCTCGCCAATCAACCAGCATCGCCAGGTTACAGCACCACACCGGAGAGATTTATGTCTCACACGTCCTTCCTTCTTGGTCAACGCGTGATCCGACCTAACGCGGACACAAGCATCGAGTCGGGATACCAGGTGTTAAGATTATGTACCGAATTGGTACCTGCGACCTTGGCGTTATTAGGCACCGAACAGGTGTCGCCATTTTGGGCGATTCTGTTTTATTTTATCATCATCTTATTTGGAATCGCACAGCAGGTATGGTACTCTAATAAATGTAATGCCATGAATAAGACTTTGGACACGTAATTTAGGCCGGTCTTTACAGTTCTTATTTATGGAGATCCCACATATATATATTTGAAAATTTCACCGACAAAATACTGATCTTTTTCTACAAAGCTTATGTTGTAATTTAATTTCACAGAATTACAAATACTTTTACATAAATGCACAATGAAAGTATATACAAAAATTAATTAACGCACAAAAATAACAAAAAATTTAACATTAACGTTTCGAGTTGTCAACGTATAATTATTCATCTTATACAAAAATTTTGTAGTTTATTTTTGTATTTTGTATTTTGTATTTCGATCGTATATTTGTTTTGTTTAGGAAAATTTAAAAAAACACATTACTATACCTTTACAACTGAATTTAGAAGTTTAAAAATATACAAAAAGTTTGCAGGAAGATTTTTATATGCGCGCGCTTGGTTATGTTTTCTGTCAAACATAATAAAATAAACTAGCAAACATTTTTCATAGATCTATACCCAAATAGCACAAAACATCCTGAGAATTATCCTTGATATACTCAAAACATCCTAGGGTATTTTGCAGGACATCCTGGATACATTCAATATGGTTCTGAGTCGTTTTGTGCTGGATGTGTGGAAAAAAAATACGAAAAAAGTAGTGTAATTGTGTTACTTCTTTGACATAATGTTTTTTGAAATCGCCTCTACGTTATCGACATTTTTAGAGTTTGTCACGCACTTTAATATCCTTTGAAAATCGTCTTACGTTTATCTTTAGTGCGTCTGAAGATGGATTTAAGATGATTTTAAATATAAAAACAAGACTATGAATACCTTCTTAAGATTCACACACTCGATCTCTTATTAGCTACTCCGGTTGGTGGCGTGTAACAATATGTAAAAATAGTTAGATATTTATTTTAACGTTTCAGTTGGCAATCTGGCATTGCGTAATAACCGGTATAATGGCCTTCAATACGAAACTGATGAAGCTCTGGGAGACGACTATCACGTTCTTCAGTTGCGCTTGTGCATACATACTCGGACTGCCTATGGCTACGGAGGTATACCTGTAATCTTCATAGTAGTTTATTAAGCATTGCTTAGTTGGAGATAATAAATCTTTTTGATAGATTTATCTTACTTATCTATCGCAGATAACAAGCGACCAAGTACGATCCCTTAATTACGCGTGCACAAATTACTATTATTAATTGGGTGTATACGTCGTGTGAATATCATGATTTAATTTACACGGTGTGCTGGGGTAACATAAGTGATATCAGTATGCCGCGTAAATATATTACGTCGGGTATATATCTGTAATATTATCTTTGTCTTTATGCGAGGCTCCCATCTGTCCTTATCAGATAGATTACGCAATCTTTCATTTACCCAGAATTGTTATCGGCGCAAGTTTTTCACTTCGTACTAGCAAACCCGCGCAGTATCGCGAATGCGTTCACGTCGAAACGAAACATGAGTAATCACGTTCACACGATAGTACATCGTAGCGTACCTTGCTACTTCTGCAATGAATTTTTGGAGGAGAGGCACTTATCGGAGCACATGACGCATTGCGCATCCGTTTTGGAGGTATGCCCGAACAAATGCGGTGTTTACGTGCCTCGTAGACACTTGGAAGCTCATTATAAATCGTGTGGCAAGAGAATATCAAAAAAGACCAGTCAGTCGAAGAACGTTGAAGACTCGGTGTGGAAGGAGAAAGTATTTTCGATACTGACGTTGCTGCGTCTAGCCATCGATCACGGGGAAAAGGAGCGAACTCATCTGCACGATGCGCTTTCGAGAAATTTGAACTTGCTGCACTCTCAGCAGGAATCTCTCGCTGCGTTGCGATCGAATATTACGGAGGCAGTCGAGGAAGCTCGTGTCAACAGTTTATTACTGAGTCGGAGATTAAACGACATAGAAATTATTACGGAGAACTCGCAGCACTGCACTAGCGTGAGCTTCCAACAGATCTCCGAACAGTTGAAACTATTCGAGGGAGAATTAAACGGCGAGCAAGGCAAGCACGAGCGAGTGCTGGACAACTGGTTCCAAGAACTAAAGGATCTTAAAACGTTTATTGCCAAAGAGAGCGTGCGTGTTAGCGACATGTGGCAAGAACAAACGCAACGTATTAACGACCTGAAGCTTGAATTAGAGATAAGATGCAAAGACTCGAAGGAATTAATATATAAGTACGATTCTTTGTCAAGAAACATGGATTGTCTGCTCGAAGAAATTCGCAAATATTCCGAAATTACGGCCAAACAGCAGTCTGACTTAAAAGGTTTAAAATTCCAAATGAAGGAGAATCTTAAATACGTCGAAGAATTAATCGCGGAAAATTACAAAGCGCATTATCCGCTGGATTCATGCACTTGTACGTCTGAAATGATCGAAGGCACCTCGATGAACGGTCACATTATATGGCGAATCGACGGTTACAGGGAGAAGATGAGCGTGGCCAAGGAAAACGGTCGCGCGCTCTACAGTCCAATATTTTTTAACAAGGAATACGGCTACACCTTGAGAATGGAGTTATTTCTAAATGGCAAAGGTCAATGGAAGAATCGTAATATCATTGGTTGTCTACGCGTGGAAAGTGGCAAATGGGATCCTTTGCTGGATTGGCCTTGTGTGCTGAGGGCTTCTATAGTTCTTCGTGATCAAGACAATTCTGTGAACGACGTTAGAAAAATTGTGAAAACCGTAGGCCGAGATAAGAACGACTCGGATGATGCTGATAAGAAATCCGATCTGTATATGTTCATTCCTCATACTACGCTGAGTAGATATTCCGGTTATACAAAGAATAATGTTATATTTTTTGATATACAAGTGCGGGATGTAAAGACGAGTGCTTCAACAATGTCATTAATAACTCAATAGTTATACTACTTGTAATGATTAAGTCTTTGTAATGATATTAGTGATGAGACCAGTATAAATGGTAATATATAACCCGAATTATAATAAATTTCATAATCACAAGTTAAATAATAATAAAGTCTTCCAAAAAGCACATGGACATCCAGTGGATGTCCATAGGACATCATTTCTAGACATCAGATATCCATTTTCTATCCAAAACAGATCCATTTTTCATTCGATAAACATATATAAGATGTATATTTGACATAACTTCAAACACCTTTAAAATATCCATAATAAGGCTACTCTCGAATTTATTCTGGATTTATTTTGGACCTATTATGGAATCCGTTTAAGATTTTCGTAGTTTTAATTAGTAACTTATTGCTATATATATTTTCTTTATATGAAAACTTAAAGAAAGATGCTGTCTGGCGTTGCACAGCATCTAGCATGCATAGAGAAAAATATTTCTTTAGGTTTAATAATTTTTGTTCAATTGAAAAATAAATTTAATAGATTCTTAATAATGATTTAAGAAATATGATTTAAAATCATTGTATGTATGTTTATGGACATAGTCTAAAAAATTTATTAATTTTCGATAAAAAATACCAATACCCGTAAGTTGTGTCATACGTTTATGTTCCACCATGGTTTCAAAATCCTGAACAACGATCGGTCACCATCTCCTTCTAGACACGCTCAATTATTGCTTGATTTTGAAGATCGTGCGATAAATAGTCACTTCAATATGTTACTTTATGTTAGCAATATCATTACTTATACTGTATATAATGTATGCTTATAGTATTCATGAAACATTCTAATGACATGTTTACTGGCAACAATAAAAACAATGCAACAACAGTCAAAATACAACGAATATAACGAATATTGGTATAATGTAAGAATATATTGTTTTAATGAAACAAAATCAAATAGGAATTCTAAATCAAAAGAAACCTTTTTTTCTATGCAGATGTTATATACTAAGTATCTATTTAGGTTTTTTGTGTTATATACGAGCATATTTATTGAAAATTCGGGATAATATTTAATATATATATATATATATAACAATTTTTAAAATTAAAATAAACTTTATCAATAATGACATAGAAATACTAGATTTATAACACCAAAAATTATTTCTCGGTAAACATAACTTTGTTTAATATTAAATGATAATATAGAAAACATTTAAAATTATTCTTTTTATAAATATTAAATATTGTTATACGAAAGTAAATATGAAAAAATATTTATTATAGTATTGATGGAATATTTTTAACGATAAAAAATAAAAGAAAAATGTTTTAACTATTTCGAACAAAGTTTCAATAATAAAAACAATTGTTTTTGAAGATTGATATAAAAAAATCACCAAAATTTCAACTTGGATGTACTTGGATATTGGAATGTCCATAAGATGTATTGGTTCGGATATTCGTTCGGGTCTAAAAAAAATATATCCTATCCTCTAAATTTCTTGGAGTGAAAATCTCACTCGAGAAATGGAATGACAACCGAATCACTCGAATTGGAGTGATTTTTCATTCTTATAGAATAAATTTCTTTACTCTATTGTAGAATGAAGATTTGCACACTGTGTTGTATAGTGAATTTTCCCTTGACGAATGGAGTGATGACCATCACTCGTGACTATAGAGTGACTTATCACTCATGTGGAATAAATTTTCAATCATGAAAGAGTGAGATTCGAAAACAGCGTATCGTTATAAGAGTCATTCCTATCAATTAATAGCAGTGACTCAGTAGGTAAGGAGAATGATTCAAGAAGTCTCAGGTTTCAAATTTCGCTCAGCGAATTTTTCCAACCATATTATAAGTGGAATTAATTAAATAGCACACTATTAAAAAGATTGCAATAAGTATAAAGTCGCGCCTCTGGTGTACTGTCGTAAACCGTAAGTTGTAAGAATTGGCCAATTATAACCGATTATTCATGTAACAATCGATTGTAATTGGCCAATTTTTATAGCTTACTCCACATGTTGTAGACAAAGCTTACAACAACGTCGTTATGATATTTGCTATAGCAACAGCATGTATAAATCTCATAGTCGGTAATGTCGACAGTTGTCTTGAAAATGTCATTAAATAGACATTATAAAGATGTCTCAAATAAAATGTTTTTAATATGTCTTTTGCGTAACTTAAAGATTTAAAGATATCTAAAATAAGATATTTTTTAAATGACTTTAAGACATCTTTTGAGTGACGTTTTAAAAATATTTGAAATAAAACATTTTTTAGACCACTTTTAGTAATGTCATAACGATGTTTTACATAAGACGTCTTTAAAACTTCTAAAAGGTCAAAAATCGTCTAAAAGGTATTTTATTTCAAAACTTCCCTTATAGAAATATCATACTAAGAATCATTGGTAATTACTTATTATCCAGTATTTTTAATACTGAAAATAAGTAATTATCAATGATTCTTAGTATGATATTTCTATAAGGGTTTACAAAAGACATCTTAAAAACATCACATTTAAAACACATCAGATCTTAAAGACATCTTAAAAATATTTTACTTTAGACGTCTTTAAGATGTTACACAAAATATGTCTTAAAGACATTGTAACCGCGATGCGTTTCGGATCGCTCGTCGGTTCGGGTTCGTGGTAGGCGGAATAATTGAGAAACAGTGGTTGGTTAACAAACTTAATACTATATTTGAAATAACCAGCTGATGGTGTTTACAATTAAATTAAATAACGTGTGTCGACGCCGTTGGTTTTGGTCGTTTGTGTACTATCTGTCAGAGGCTTGTTTATGCGATGGCTCGCGAGATGTGATGCGCGGGACGCGGACGGTGTGAGTGTCGCGTATTCGCGAGTTCGTCTTGTTGATGTTTCTCGGCGTCTCGCCTCTTTAATTGCGGTTGACAACTTCTTGTGGTGATTTAGCTGCTCTTCGATGCAGCACAGTATACGCGGTATGTCGGTAAGATTGCAACGGAGCTGCAACGCGATGTATCGCCTTAATGGCGATACCTCCTATCTCCTATCGCGAAGATTTGGTGCGGTTCAGTGTATGTGGTGCGGCCGTCGGCCCTCGTACACGGGATCATAGCTATCGGAGCTGCTTTGTAATCGAATGAGGCTCGTTCTAACACGATCGCGAATGCGGTGAAGACGGTGCCGCGGATGCGCCTATGCGTCGTGGTAACGGAGTACGTTTGATCTCCCTTCTGGAGAGCGTTTACGAGTATCGCGGAGGTCGACTCGCGTCCTTGCGAGTCGACGACGGTGTGATCCTGATGTGGATTCTTAATATGCAGTGTCGAAGCTACGTTGCAACGGAGCGCAACTTCACGGATACGGTGTCGAGTTTCGCACGCGGCGACTCGATATCGATGTGATCCCGCTCACGCTAAGGCGGCGGCGAGATCTGGTTTGCGATGTGAAGGTTGCGTTTAAGCGCCCTTCCAGTGTGTCGATTCCAGGCCCTTCGGCGGCCGTGGAATCTGACAAATAACGGAGTTTATCAGTATCGGCGTCACGAATCCGTGAACCGACAGCGGAGTGATTTCAGTCGCGAATCCGCGAACAGAAATCTGCCAGGAACGGTAGATAGAACAATGTCGATATCATGAATCCGTAAGTCGACGGCGGAGTGCTTTCAGTCGCGAATCCGCGAACGGAAGGCTGCCAGGAACGGTATAGAGAACAATGTCGACGTCACGAATCCGTAAGTCGACGACGGAGTGATTGCGGTCGCGAATCCGCGAGCCGCAAGCTGCCAAGAGTAGACACTTGCGGATCTGTTTCGAGAGCGGAGGATCGGAGTCTGATTCTCTCGAAAGAGCGGTAGATCGGATCTGATCTCGATTACAATTCGCGGCGTTTTATATATTGCGAATCACGCTTGATTCGCTGTTTACCACTGAAGTTCGGCGTTCGCGCTGTTTACACTTTGAGAGGACGCTGTCCTTCCTCGCTTCTTTTATTCATGGTCTTATACGTTTCTTATATGCGGCTAGTAACGATCGCTTATGCGGGTCGTTCCATTTTATTTGAGACATCTTTCTGTAGTAGGCCCACTAAACATGCGTGTTGTGAAATGTCCTGAAGTGTCCTCCTTTGTAAAAAAAAGTTGATAGAGGACGATTGAGAACGATAGAATTTCTATCAATATGTGTTGTTTTCTATAAGCTCTATCGTTCGCAAGCGTCAGCATTCGCGAGCATCAGATATAAATCCTATTGTATTTTATCTGGTTCTAAGAATCGGGTCCTATTTGTATTATATAGGAAACTGATGATAGAAATTCTATCACTATCTATTGTATTCTATTGTATACGACAGAATACTATTCATATTTGTGAATTTACGAATCAAAATCCATATTCAAAACAAAAGAAAACGATAGAACAATAGAATTTTATTCTATCGTTATATATAAACTTTTTACCAGGGCTGAAGGTCCTGAAGTGTTTCACTGATTCTGAGTATAGAACACTGTAGAATTGTTCTAGAAAGTCTAAATAACACAAAGA